TGTGTGTGTGTGTGTGTGTGTGTGTGTGTGTGTGCACACAGCACATAATAAAACCGTGGTCTCACTTTATATTAAGTGTCTTTAACTACTATGTATTGCATTTAAATGTAAGGTTCTATTAGTTAACATTAGTTAATGAATTAACTAACAATGAGCAATATTTTTTTTATAGTGTGCATTAATCATTGTTAATGTTAGTTAATAAAAAAATACAAATGTTCATTGTTAGTCCATGTTAGCTCAGATCCATCTATTAACAACACATTAATGCATTAGGAAATGTTGAAACTAACATTACTAAGATTAATAAATGCTTAAGAAATATTTTCCATTGTTAGTTCATGTTAACTAATGTTAAGAAATGGAACCTTATTGTAATGTTACCATTTAATTGAATCTTGTGATACAATGCACTTACTGTGTACATACATACTTATATTTTAAAATATACCTGCATGTAATTACATCTGTAAATAATTTCAGTAGTAACATCAATAACTATACTGTTGACTCTACTCCTTAACCCACCTTTAAACCTTTAACCAAACCACCAAACCTGTCCCTAAACTTACCCATAATCCACATCAATAGCAGCAACAGTGATTTGCACTACAACATAAACACAATACATACATTGCACCAAACAATTTTTGACATGATAGTTGATGATATTAGTGGCACAGAAATTACACCGTTCAGTCTTAATGCATTCATTTATTAGAATGCAATAAAATAAAGTACTGTATTAAAAAAAAAATTCACACAGGGCCAAAATTGCATTGTTGAGAGGAAGAAAACAAAAACACGAGTCACATATCTATGTTGCATGATGCATGTTATTATTACATTCAGAAATAATGTACAATATCGGCAAATTAAAATTGTAAACATTAGTGGCTTTCATAATAAACAACATTTAGGCTATTATAAATGCCAAAGCTATAAACAAATGTATTTAAAGTGCACTGAAACCATTGGAATCACACCTCCGTCATTAAGCACTAATCCAAATGTGTTGCTGTGGAAGTGGTAAAGAGAAAGTAGCTTGCGCGATTCTGTGCGTGTTCCCCGGCTGACCGGGACGCTGATGAGCTGTAAGTGACTGCAGCTGGGTGTCATGAGAGAGCAGCCGCCTGGTTTTACTGGTGTAACCTAATATAGGTAGATTTAGCAATATTAAAAGTGCTGTATGTAATTGTTTGACTGTACTAAAGCATATTTAGGAAACATGTTTCTCTGAAAAACAACGCTACAGCCAGTTATTCTGCTTTGGAAAGTGTGTTCCATGTCGGAATGTCTGTTTTTGTATTGGTTGTGACTCCGCCCAGTATTTCAACACCCCGGGTTGCCAGTTGGTGCAAAACACAGCGTTTTACAACCATGGAATCTAGCAAAGAACTGGGTCAGAGATTGCAGATTCTACTCAACCTAAAAAGCGTCAGCATCCATCTAAAAAGCTCTATGAGCAGAGGCTTATTAAAACGCTGATAAATCAACTCATCAACTTAGTGTAATTTTGAATTTGTTAATAGGATAGTTCACCCACAGACTAAATTCTGTCATCATTTGCTCACCCTCAAGTTTAGGTTAGGGGTAACCTGTATGAGCTTCTTCTGTTGAATTTCAAAGAAGATATTTGGAAGAATGTTGGTAACAAAACAGTTGACAGTAGCCATTGACTTCCATAGTATTTTTTGCCATAATATGGAAGTCAGCAGGGACCAGCAACTGTTTGATTCTTCAAAATCCATGTGCAAAAGAAGAAAGAAACTCATACAGGTTTGGAGTAAATGATGATAGGTAACCTGACAAAATATTTTTTACAGTTTATGTATTTGTGAAATAGTCATGCCAGCTAACAACTTGAAATGCACATTCTGCCAACTTTATACCTTTCCTTCCTTTGGTCATTTTCAAGAGAAACCATTTCTGCTGGAAAAAAAACCAGACACTCAATAAATCCAAGTATTGGACTTTATAACTTGGCACAGTATTAGCTGCACCACAGGGAAACCTTTATGGGTTTTAAGAATGCCTTCACCCAAAGCTCTGTCAATGAAAAATGTTATTGGTCGACTGTGGGAACAAACACCTCAAACTTACTTTTGAGATTTATGTTATTGCCCTGTAGTTGCTTGTTGGTTTTGTTAGAGGCATTTTTCTATGGTGTGTGTGTTGATACATAGGAAATACAGGAATTAGACTGGAAATGCACTGAATCATCTCACTGTTGGCTGTTGTATTTCTTCAGCTAATGGCAGCGAGCTTCACATCGGTAGTGTGCGTTATGAAGACACTGGTGCTTATACCTGCATCGCTAGAAACGAGGTTGGCGTGGATGAAGACATCTCATCTCTGTTTGTGGAAGACTCGGCACGAAAGACACGTGAGTGATGATACTGAAGCTGTTTTAGCACAGATTGTAATGATTTTGTGACCTATGGTTCCTTCCTTAAAGATATACTGTAAATGGGAGAATGGTGTTGGCTAGAAAGTATAGAGCACTGTATTTTTCAGATTTTTTTCTGTTTTGTTTTTTACTTTATAAATCAAAAACTATGTCAATTATTTGAAATAATAAAACTCATAGAATTTAACTTTTACATAACAAAACAATTATTAAAAGTTAAAATTTTTGTTTTTTCTAAAGTTGCATTTAATTTTTACCAAATTCTGTGTTTTCCAATTTTAATTGTTATATTAAATTTAAATCAACTAAATTAATTAAAACAACATGCTTTTATTATTATTATTATTTTACAGTTATAGGGCCCTGTGCTTTTTCAGAAATTTAGTGTTGTGAATTAAAAATGTTCTGCTAATCAAATTAAGACATACCACATTAACAATTTAGTTAATCTTTTAGTCAAATGAAAATTAAATATATTAATTCTGTCAATCTAAAATCCATCCAACATTTCCCAAATTCCGTGACATTCCGCATTATACATTAAATTCCATATTTATGACTGGATTCTGCAATTCCATCCACATTTTCTACATTGTGGAACTCATAGGGCCTTAGGTGTACTGGTAGACTCGTGCACACTTTAATGTGGATTGTTGGTTCAGTTTTTACTGGCAAGAATTTACAAGTCAGCTCACATGTAATGAAGCCACCAATGCAGAAAGGACAGTTTGTCATTAATAAGGTTTTAATGGTCATACAGCAATAAACATCTGCAAATGTGAACAGCCCTATGGTGTCTGTGCACACATGCCAATTCCTGTTTCAGAAATTACAGACATTTTCTGGACTGTTAAATTTACAGTGTTCAGTTAGAGTGAAATGAAGGTCTATAGATCTCAATGTGTCCAACGCATAAATGGGAGATTCTTTTCTGTCCACTAGTGCCATTTTGAAAGCAATCATTCTGCACTGAAAAAAACAATAAGTAGATTTACTTCATTTTTATTTTGCAAGTTTTTGCACACATACATTTTAAATAAAATGTAAGTATTGAATTAAGTAAAATCTACTTAACTAAGTTAGGTAAAATTAGCAATGGAAATAAGTAAATTTAACATGGACAGTTAGAGTTTGATGAGTAATTTCTACTTAATCATTTTGTTAAATATGCAATACTCAAGTACATTTCTCTCAGTTACAGTTTATAAAATTTACTCAAACAATGTAGCACTGGAGAACAATCATGCTATTAAAGCGAAATCATAGTGGCACCCCTGCCCGTGGCTCCTGATGATATATTGAGGTCTTATGAAGCGAAATGATTGGTCTGTGCAA